AAGGAACCCTTTTTCTGGTGGGGGAGTTGGGTTGGGGGGGGGGGGGGGGCGACAACAACTGAAGTTGCAGGAAGAAGTAATTGGGTTTTCTCATTGTTTTGCTCAGGCAGTCCGTTGACAACTGTCAAGTTGAACTCAAAATTAACCCGGCGGACACTGGGACACCGCATTTTCCCACTGCCACTTAACTGGATAAATCCGTCCAAGTCTTTTGCTGTTAGCACTCTGATATCACTCTGCCAACCCTTCTAACATCTGACATCACAGCGACGCCGGTCCCGAATTGACCACGTTTCGCTTTGTGGTGCATCAAACGTCCACTTTTCACAATTCTTGTCTCCCATTTTCTGCACTTGTACTCAATTTTTATTTTTTGAGGGGGCACGTGGGGGGGGGTCTATAATGGACTGAGTCCAAAACACTTAATGTGTCCTCTGCTGTTACAGGATGGAGTCCACGGAGAAATGCGAAGTCGTTATCCAGCATTTCAACGGAAAATACCTGAAGACCCCACCAGGAATTCCAAGTGAGACCTTTTTGCCCCTTTCTTTCTGCCTGATTGGGCTCACAAGCAACGAGTCTTTCGGATTCACTCATGATAACTCCGCGTGTCAGATCTGCCGTTGTGACTGTTTTGCGACTCGTGCCAGACTGGAACTTCTCAAACAAACGTGAGAGAGAGAAAGCGAGCGAGCGACGACTTAATATTCACCCTCATGCCTTTGCGACATTCTTTGCAATCTTGCTAAGAGCTTGCACTCTCTTCACTCTGCTCTCGAGTTGAGCGAGGGGAGCGCAGACAAGGGGGGTTGGGGGGCGGGGTTGAAAACGCCAACATACCTAAAGTTTTGTGTGCGCGCGTGCGCAGCATGTTGTCGTCTCTGTTCAAAGTCACCATTAATGCTCCATAAGCTTGAAACACGAAAATGAGAGGATGGGCAAGAAAAAAGGGGCAAGGAAAGGCAGAGTCAAGGAGGAAAAGAGAAAAAAAAAAATTCAGAGGGCAAGGCCTCAACGAAGGCATGTAAAGTGCCGCCTAAGCAGTTTTGATGCCAGGTACCGCTCGACGTCTCCCGGCAGGAAGTGCCGGGCAGACGAGGCCTCACCAAGGAGCTCTCCTTCACCCGCGGGGCAATTTCATTAAGAATGCTCACACCTCCAACTAGTATGGCGGAAACACGCCCTATAAATTGCTTTCCACTTTCCCGTAATATCTCAGAGAGTCTGGATTTAAAAATCTCCATCTATGCTCAGCCACTGCATAGCCAGCAGCTATTCAAGGCAAGGTGAGTAGTTGCATTCAAGTTGAGCCATTAGAGGAAACCTTTAAAGCGGTAATGCCAGATTGACCTTCGCCTTTAAAACTCATTCAGTGCCGGCCATTTTTAAACCCTTCTTTACTCTACCAAAAAATTACGTTGAAATTAAATTTTAGCTGGAACTGGGATTGTGAATGCCTGGATTCTTAAAAAACATTGGAAAAAAAAAAACGACCTTGGTATTGAACGAGTTAAGGGTTTATCTGTCAAGATTGTTAATGGATCATTCAGATATGTAACAAGAAATCTGCCTGGATGTAAGGAAGCGGAATTTTTCAGCGTCAATGATCATGTTTTCAGAAAACCTCCCACTACCCCCGTGTCCGACACGGACATTCCGCTGCGGTATTTCCCCCGAGTACCTCGCCGCGCGGGGCAGCTTCTTCATCCATCCTCTTTTCGACAGGTCCAACGCAACTCCCCCCCCCGCGGGGAAGGCCGTCGCACACAAAGCGCAGCACCACCGCGTGTGCATGTATAAACCCGCGCGACAGCCGTGACCACTGCTCTCTACCCGCGCACAAACCGCACGAGCATAAATACAGTCACGCTCCACTAACGATGACCCCCCCCGCCCCAACGGAATGTCAATGCGCTGCATACTATATTGTGAATGCGCCTCCCATCGTTTCACTTTTGGAAAAGTACCGCTGCTGCACACATTAAATCGCACTTTAACCCTTTCATGCACCCTGAAACCTGATAACATGATAAATTGCCCACTGGAGTAACCGTCGTCGCTCAAAGTGTTAAAACTTGCTTGATTGCAAGTTTTATCAACATTAGCCATGGGGAAATACTTATATTGCCTTTATGTGTGGAGTTTGCATGTTCCTCCCCGTACCTGCGTGGTTTTTCTCCGGGTAACTCCGGTTTCCTCCCACATTCCAAAACCATGCATGGCAGGCCGATTGAACACTCTAAATTGGCCTTCGGTGTGAGTTTGAGTGCAGATGGTTGTTCGTCTCTGTGTGCCCTGCGATTAGCTGGCAACTGGTTCAGGGTGTCCGAAGACAGCTGGGATAGGCTCCAGCACCCCCCACCCGCGAGCCTTGTGAGGATGAAACGGATCAGAAAATGGATGGATGGAAATTCTATAGCGAGAAAAAAAGCTCTCCTCTGACTCGTTGTTTATGCATTCAAGTCGGACGGCGATCACGTGTCGATGCATGTAATCAGCCGTCCGGGTCAGGTTTGTTCACTGATGCCTTAGTTGATATGAGCCACGCGTAGCTGTCCAGCACAGCCGGCACAGGGGCCCACTCGAGCCGCTCCGCTCTGCCCACGTCTGATTTGGATTCAGAAAGAAGGACATGATCGATAGCCGTGATGGAGCGCTACAGCTGTTTAGCAATTCCGTGCGATGCGGCAGCGGCCGCCGTCGCCGTCGTCGAACCATGATCGCGCATATAGCTCGCACACGGATCCAATCTCTTGAGCATGTATGCTCCAAACACGTTGTATTGTAAGCGCCGCGCTTGGAGAGATTGATGACCTCATGCAGAGAGAACAATCTCTGTTTAGAAAAATCATGCATTTGTTATTTGTAGCTGAGCACAAAGAGTTGTCCTTGTTTTTGTTTTTTGGGGGGGGGAGGTGGTCAGAGCATGTGGATTTACTCAATGGACAAAATAAATAAAATCTACGAAATGTGACTACAGCAATAAAGTACACTGACGTGAGACCAACAGGGACACATTATGATTTACATTGCAACCCCCGAGCAATGGGAAAGTCAAAGGAAGTGCAGATAAAAGTGATTTAATCCGCCTGCTCCGCTGAGCCTGATTAAGCCTGTCATCCCACAATGCATTAAACAGCTTAGAGACGACACCTTATGGTTAATGTCATTCAAACTGCAGATACATTAGCCGGCGCCGTGTTTTGGCTGGCGACTCATCTGTTGTACGTCCCGTGGCATTGTTGGAGGTTGGCAGAGGGGGAAATTGGAAACATTTGACACGCTGTATGGATGGCGCCGTCAGCAGTCACACGACAGCAAAAAGTAGGTGCGCTTGAAGACCGAACACAAAATACAGCCGCGCAAGGCTGATTTATAGACAGTGGTTACCTCTACTGACGAACGTCTCTTCAGATGACATTTTCAAGTTACGAAGCGTCTCAACAGGAAAATATTTCCTCTTGTTACGAAAGAAAGTTCAAGATACGAAAGGTAAAAATACAGTCTGGGCTGCTCCTCGCAACTCCGAGTTTCCTGAACGCAACATACTCATAGCTGCTCTGCCATTGGCTATTACCCAGCATCATCCTGGCATCCCATTGGCTAAGAAGGACCTCTCCCATATGTGTCTATGTGTAGATAGATAAATAGAAATGTGTCGATGCAGCGTCCTCGTCATTCGCCCAAGGAGGTGTTTCCGAGAGTTTTACGTCAATGTGAATCAGCCAGAACAAACGTCCTTGAATCAATTCTTTACTAAACGCCAGGCAAAAATCATTTCTGAGAGAAAACATGAACTAAAGAGGGCAAAAAAAAAACCGATGTGAATGCAGTTAAAACTTAAATGACCATCATTTTTATTCTTTATTCTTTGTTTTTTTTACATTATGCACAACTCTCATTTATTGTGCAATGATCTAATTGTAACATGTATTTGTTACATATTTTGACGCTTTAGGAAACATTTTTATCTGAATTTTGGGGGGGCTTGGAACGGATTAGGGCATTTACATGGAAAACACGTCTCTACTTACAAAGATTTCTTGTTAAGAAATTTCATCCACAACCAATTAATTTTCCTAAGTAGAGCTACCACTGTGTGTGTGTGCGTGTGCGCGTGTGTGTGTGTGCGTGTGACATGACAGACAACCCACAATATTAATACATCCTCGGCTGAATTAAGGCAAGTCGCAAATTCCTCATTAAGTCACCAAATGTCCTTCAGAAGCCGCCAGTCATACTTGAGTCATCTCTGTTCATTTCCGTAGCTCTGCCCACTCCCCCCGTCGACAGGCCCATTGTTAACCCCGTATAGTGTTTAGCATGTACTAACATGCCTTCAAGTCTAGATCGAGGCAGATATTTGCCATGATGATATCTGGGCCCGGCTTTGCGGATTTGAATCACCGCCGTGAATCACGTTTATGTCTTCTATGCCGTTTGTATGAGAGCTTTTCCTTTAACAAGGCTACACAAAAGTACTGCCGGTACTTTATTGCTTTAGAAGGTGAAGGTGAGTTGTAAAGTATAAAGAAGTCGGGCAAAGGTACTGTGATTTCACTTCAGAGATTTTTTTTTTTTTGACAGTGTAGCAATTTACTAAAGTGAAACCACGGCGAATAATTGAATGGAATTTATGATGTGACAAATATTATAGACCCGTGCTTTGGGACATCAATCTGTTTTTGCACCCATACCGTCCAGATTTTGCATGTGCCAAGATAGCGGAACTAAATGCATGGAATGTTTTATTTGTGATTACTTATTCATTTCCTGGTGGACTATTCTTTCTGGTAAGACACTTTAACGACAGTACGCCTCCACAGTTAAAATATTTTCATGAAATCTGTCCTTCAACTATTTCCCGGATTCTACCGCTCTCCCATGCGAGTCCGTGGGACTTGGGAAGTTAATATTGGCAACCCCAGTAAGTCATCCAGCTTCCTGAAAAAGGAAGAAAAAAAAAACCCCGATCAATTTCCCTTGATGCACTTTCTCATTATAACCTTATCTCGGCCGCAGACAATAATCTGGATTTGTCACGCTTTGTTTGTTTCGCCGCGGAAATATATCAGTCATGAATTAGCCGAGAAGAGAAGTGTGGGGGGGTCGGGGGGGCTCGCCGTGAGGACGTGTCACTCAAATATGAAAGTTTTCACCTGTGTCATTCCACAGAGAGCTTTGCTAGCTTTTGGCTGATCTCGTGGACTTTTTGCTCTCCGCTCATCCGCATCTAATGAAGAGTAAACGCCGGATGAAAAGGTTGCATGAGTGAAAAATGCGTAAAGTGAGAAATATGGTGTGGAGGTGCGGACTAAGATGAATAAACGTGACAGGACTCGAGAGGGAGGCCGGGGAGAACAGATGGGAAAGGGCAGCGGGAGGGCGGGGTGGGGGAAAGAAGAGGGGGAGGGGGTGATGGGTGATGTTGCGAAACAGAGGAGAAAGTTGGATCAAGTCATGCTTTTTGCAAGGTTACGTTTGAGGAAAGTTTAGGCTGCCGCATCTGCGGCAGGCGAGATGAAA